CAATGGGGTGAAGTTTAATTCACTTGGTATTGTTTTACTTGAATCTTCCCATTGTTGTTTTAGGACTACAATTGATCAGTCTCTTGTTGTAACATGTGCGTCTTGTGCGGATTGCCTCGATATAGGACGAAACGCGCGTTAAACTGGATTCCACTGCTAGCCACTATCCATCTTTGCTTATAATGCTTGTAAATTAAAGCAATTTCGAGGCATACGCACAGTATGCACATATGCCAATAAGAGACTGATCAATTTCACTCCCAAAACATCAATGGGAGGATTCAAGTAAAACAATACCAAGTGAATTGTCTAGAATTGTTTAATGCGATTTTAACCAGAGTTATCATGTATTGTTGTTCACCGTAAAATGTTGTTGTAATCACTGAGATGATCAATTTTAAGCAGAAACACATTAGTTTTCAAGATGTCTACTGATCTACATATGTTTGTTATGCTTCAGGGTTTAATTTCTTGCTATTTACATTCATAATTGTATTTCAAGTTTATATGAATTATATAGTCCTTGTCAATATAAACATTACGAAACAGAATTTTTTATGAAGTAAAGAATTTCACAACAGTCAATTAGAAATTTACAACAGGAGAGGTATCATGTTTCATGAATATTGAATTAAGAATCGGTTAAAACCTAAAAGATTCACAGGTTTGTGATAGGGGCTTTGTGTCTAGTAATATCTTAGACTTATGACTATATTGAAGATGGATACGAATTGTGATAATAAGAGACTATCAACTCGACATTCAACCTATGACCTATCCTTAATTCATTGGACAAATGAACATAGCTATCATCCGCGTAAACATAATACAATGTTCAAACGTGATAACTGTACCCCGACACAAACAAACAAAAAAATGTTTTCAAGTGAACGGTGTTGATATCTGAAATGTTATCAAATTGGTCTTCTAACTGAATGCTAAATTCAGTTCCTAAGCTCTTCTATTAACCCCCAGGCTAAATCAACGTAGCGACTAAAACACGAGGGAAAAGGCGTGAAATATGAAAGAAACGCTTTATTTTAAGGTTCGTTTATGCACAAAAGATCTAGGGTATTTATAGCATTTTAGATGACCTTGGGTTTTCTGAAAATTCTGGGACTCTATTAAGCATCTTAGCAGTATAAGTAATCACCCAATCAGAAAGGTGACTTGTGATTTTTCACTTTCTAGATGTTTTTGGCAAAACTATTGAATGCTGATTGAATAATATGCTTCTCAGCGTTTCCAGAGCCTCTTTTGGCTTTTCTCGGGGAATTCTCTGGATCTTATCCACAAGGGCGATAACAATGACTATTCTGAGTAGAGTACAGACATATAACTAAAAGCTACGTTTGTTATGCAAAGATTGAAATTTCATTCTATCAACTCATTTTAAGAAGAAAAATAAATTTGAGAGCCCGGTTATTGCTTTTTCCAAGAACTATTGTGTCTGGCAGGAGTACAGCAAAAGTATAAGCTGAAAACAACCTCAATGGATTTTTAGACAATTCTTAGCCAGTCAAAAAACAGCTTTGTAAATGGATAATTTTCGGCAAAGAAAACAATGGCGTTACAAAGTGTAAACATATTTACACAATCACTTTTATCCTATTGTGACAAAAACTATTTTTGTTGACATTTTAAACGTTCTGAGCATTATGCAAAGGTACTCACACTTCTTATTATGCGTGGTACTTGAATATTGTCACACTCTGGATGTTGATTGGCCTGTCAGCATACCATACTTTCATCGTGTATCTATTAGTGTTAAGTTGCATAATATGACATGAAAGAATAGTTTATACATTACTTTTAAAGGAATAAGTGAATAACTCTGCTAGAAAGTATTAAACAATTAATATTCTTCACATTTTACATTAAATATACTGCTAGATTCCTCTAGATTTCGGTATAAAAGGGTTTGATTTGGTTGGATCGAACTCAGCGATACACTTGTTTGGTGGATGATCGAAGTTATTCAATAAGAAGATCTAAGTTAAGCTGTTTGCTTGTCATTTACTAAGATAATGTATAGATGACCTAACTGCCAGTAATAGATTTGGTATTCGAATCGAAAACGTCCGTTACCAGGCTTAAATATATCCCTGAGAGGTTATTTCAATGATACCACAAGTAGAGTTGTTTAATGTGATTTCTTTTTTTAGATGTATTATGACTCTTCGGGTTACAACTAACTTTTATCAATAATATGCTATGACCTTGTATTTTGTCGGGGACCCTAATTCACTGAGTAACAAACTTTATAAACGAAGGTTCAATGAAGTGGTATTTTGGTGAATGGTTAAATTTATATGTTAAACTTGAAATAGAGTGATCTCAGTAGAACATGACAGTTGCTTCGTCCCAGTGTAGGACTCCTCAACAGTGGGCATCTGCGGCCTCATCGGAAATAGAGACCAGGACTTTAACGTCTTGAAATGAACCACCATAAAATACACTCAGTTGTCGTCCAAATGGAATCAGTCTGATATAAATACAACTTACGAAATATATACTGGATTTAAAGGACTTCTGGTTTGTATTTCAGGTCAAATACTTATAAAAGTACCCAGATATTCACCAGTTTATATAACAAACAGCTTGAAGAAAGTTGATCGGATTATTATCTTAATAGGCACAGGCCCAGCTGAACATCTGACTAACCGTTAGTAATTTTCATTTTTCTAGTCCCAAAAAACAATGAGTGACTCTCAAGTCTATTCATCACTAAATAACATAATTACGAAAATCAGTATTTGTAGTCATTAGTGCTCATTGATTACTTTTCATTCACTATTTCTTAAATCCAACTTAAGTTTAGTGTTATTCTGAAATGCAATTCCGGTAAAGCAGTTTTTAATTGGGTTAGTGAAACGTACCATTTTATTTTTATACGTTATGGAAATTCTAAACTATTCCTAGTTTACATATGAGACAGTGATTTGACGTGTTGTCGCCTATATTACTGATTAATTTTCAGTCAGTTGGCGCACTTCTGAGGAGTCTCACATTAAGACGAAAAGATATCAAATCGCCAAAAGTACCACAACGACAAAATTAAACCTACATTCTAAGTCATCTTTTCTTTAGATTTGATTTAGATTATTTCAAATCAGTTAAGTAAAAATATCGAGTAAAGATTATAATTAGGGGTTTGAAAAATGGGTTTCCCTAATTTATAACAACTAATGACAAATGAGTTACACTAGTTGCTACAAGATGGAATGTCGACAAAATTATTGAAGATATAATCAATCATAATCTTCTACTGATAGTTTGAAATAATGTTTTTAATTCAAACAGTTGAGATCATGAGTCAATTGAAGCTAGACCACCATGGAAAACCTGAAGCACTGGATATCCGTTTCGTCCTAGTGTGGGACTCCTCAGTGGCAGTACGCATCCACTATCCCGCCTCGCGGAATTCGAACCCAGGACCTATCGGCCTCGCGCGCGAGCGTTTAACCACTAGACCACTGAACTGGCCGGCATCCAACGGTATTAATTTCTAACTTCAACTAATCCACGAAATTGAGCGACATATCCACCACTGTGATCAGTAAGTTACTATCTCACAACTGACCCTTACTAATGTTTTTAAACAGAATTCGGAATAAAAAAAACACCTTCACCTCAAATGTTCGATTTCTGATCATTATTTAAAGGTGAAATATTCTAATATACAAGTGATAACAAGGTAAACAGATTGAAAATGTTATGGCGATTATTTAAATTCATTCAGCTGAAATGGCTGAGAATAACTGTTGGAAGAAGAAAGAATAATCGGAATAGTTAAAGCTTGGTAATGTAAGGATAACAAGTTTAATACATACAAATCAACTTGATGAAGTCATAACACATAATAATGATCAAATAATTATTCATAATTGATACCCAAGACTAATTTAAAGTTTCAGTTAACATTAAGTATCCAAATAGCTAGGATAAACTAAAATATCGTTTGTCTAATCATTTCATAATGAAAATTAGAGTATAAAATTATATATTAATGTATTCACACTATAATCCTGGTTCATTTTTTTCAAACAACAATCAAAATAAACTAATTCACAACCACAAAAGATACAATTATCATATACCACTATGGGATTTGAATCGACAACTGCATTTCTATGCTGATGTGGTACGACAACTCGAACTGATGTACGTATGTACGAAGTTCTATGTTGTTACTGACTGACTGAGAGATTATAGTAAAAAAAGAACTAGCCAAATTAACCTACAACATTCAAAATGTTGAAACGTTAAACTTTATTTAAGATTAACTTCAATATTGTTAAACAATTTTTAGTCAATTTAGTGTTTCATAGATTTATTCCCAAAATTTATTACGGATCCCATACATGGATTTAAATACTTATTCACCAAGTCTGTTTTTACTGAAATTACTTTTTGTTTTGTTCCTTACTATGAAGGCAACCAAAACAAACCATCTTTATACCTAATAAACAATTTCTTTGCCTTTTTCGAAAACCAACAAACAATGATTATTTCAATTAGGCAATTTTATGAGAATTTCATCCAAGTTTCAAGATATTTTTACACAACATCAATGTATGAGAACTATTCAACTTTTGATACATACATAACTGCTACATGTGAAATCAAACTTGGGATATAAACAGAATGGGTTTTGTGGAGATTTTAGAAATTTCACAGATTTAAATCATGAGTCAGTTGAAGCTAGACCACCATTGAAAACCTGGAAGCACTGGACGGCTGTTTCGTCCTAATATGGGACTCCTCAGCAGGATATAAAGGTTTCATGATGGGTAATATATATTAAGATCATGAATAACCACTGATGAAGTGTCTCATAATAGAATGAAAAAGAAAAAAAAACTATTCAATGCTTCTAAGTTTTCCATGATGATCTTGTCTCAATTAAATCATGATCTCAACTATTTAAATCATTAATAAAATATCCACTAAATAAAACCCCTTATTCTATACAATTAATCAATATAAATTAAACTTACGGTGATACAGTTTCTTCTGGCATTTTGTCAATGAATTAAACGGTTGTTTATTTATCCTAATTAATACATTAAAATATGTTCCGTTGATGAATTCAAATAATAATGAGAACTAAATGTGAATTTATTGTTTGCGATTTGAAAAACTTTTTTTGTTGTTGTTGGTGTTGGTGGTGGTGATGGTGATGGTGTCGGCTGTGGTGTTTTTGTTGCTGAGGGAAACACACTAATGTAAATCTATTAAGTTTATTATAAAATTATAAAAATTTACATTAAATTTTCGGATAATTTTAAATCACTTAACTCAATGTAAAATATAAAATTTCATTTATCATTTGCCCAGCCCAATTTTAATCAATACAACCAATCAAAATTAACTATTTATTTGAAAGGTATGAATATTTTTATTAGAACTAATATTAGAATGAAGAGAGTTAATCGATACAATGGGTCATATCTTTGAGTTGTTGTTCTTTCTGCATGTGTTTTCTGTTGTTGTTGTTGTTGTTGAAGTTTATCACTCTTTCATTCTTATAGTAACAGTCTCTCGTTTTGTAATCATCTATAAAACTAATCAATAAAAATTTTTTCCTTCTCTCTCTCTCTCTCTCTCCCTATATAGATATATACATGTTTTTACGTCTATCCTGTGAATGAATTCAACTCATAGGGGAAATTTCTATTAATGATTGAGTGGGAGGCTTATTCAATATGATAACATATCTGCCCTGATTATTTTGATTAGCTGACAGGATCAGTTTTCTTTTAATGAAAAAAAAAATGTCTTTAATAGTTGATTTTATGAGTTGATTAAAGTTAGACTACTATTGGAAAGCTGGAAGTAATAGATAGGCGTTTTTTCCTAGTATGAGATTGGTGAGCTACGCGTAACCACGATCCTCCATACGGAATTCGAACCCAGGACATTCAGTTCCGCGTGAGAATGTTCACCCTGAGCCGGTATCCAACGGTGTTAATGTTTAACTTCAATCAATCCACGATATTGTGCCACCATTCACTATTGTCTTCATTGAGTAATTGCCTCGTAACAGACATGGTTGAACTCTATTGGTCACTGATTCTTACTAGAACTCCAGGAAATACTTCTTGAATACAGTCATCAGTGAGCATCATGGTTTTCTATGGAGGTCAAGCTTTAATCGACTCATGAATTCAAATATTAAATTACTAAAATCTCCACAAAACCTCCGACCCGATAAAAATGTCTCACTTAAGACAATGGTGTACGATGGCGCAACTTCGTGGATTGGTTGAAGCTAGACATTAACATCGTTGGATGCCGGCTCAATGGTCTAATGGTTAAGCGCTCGCTCGCGAGACTGATAGGTCCTGGGGTTTGAATCTCGCGGGCGGGGGCAAGATCTTGGATGCGGACTGCTGAGGAGTCCCATACTGGGACGGAACAGCCGTCCAGTGCTCCCAGGTTTTCCATGGTGATCATGATTTCAACTATTGAAAAGTGTCTTTCCTAAGATAATAAGATAAGAAATCTACTACTGTTAACGTTAAAATAAGTATTATAATAAAAATAAAAGGAGATTCAGTGAAGAAAATTTTCTTTTCGACGAAATCATTTATTAAAGTTGTACATTCGTATTTATAGTTGGATGGTAAAAATATATGTCTATAGAAGGATATCTGTCATATCTGTCAAGTGAACAATTATCTTTTTATAATTCTGATCCGTAAATTATTTTCATCCTTCTGTTTTTTCGCTTTATCCCCCTCTCCTAATTATTATGCAACCTTATTTAGTATTTGAAGTCGCGAATAACTTTATACTCCAATCTTTTCTATCCTTCTACAGACATACATTAGCAATACAACTATAAATACAAGTGTACAACTTAAGCAAATGATTTCATCGAAAAGAAAATCCTCTTCACTAAATTCTCCTTATTTTGATTCAGTGACACAATGGGTAATCTTAAGCATTTAAATACAGTAATGTTTTGCTAATATGACTGCTGATAATTGATATTATTAAAACAACAAGTGTATTTTTAATGGAACCAAAAACGAATTCACTGTTTTTCTAGTTCATGCATGCATTGAATATTTAGTCTATTTGTTTAGTCAAGATGGTGGTTGGAGGTAGTCAACAGGAAACCCTGGGTCAAGTCCTTCCTAGTGCAGATCGAATGCTATCGATCAAGTTGCAATGTGGCCACTAGTCTAGGTGACTCAAAATTGAGTGCACTATGTTGAGATAAGATGGTGGTTGCAGGTAGTCAACGGGAAACCCTGAACCCGGATTTTGTGGTACTTGGCACTCGTCAGCAAAGTGTACCTGTAATCTTGAGGGAACTGGTGCTCCCTGATGGATTCGATCCCCTATCACCCAGCTCCACAGTCAGACGCGACTGACCCCCTTTGGGACTGAAATGTATTCACAATTGATTGATCACTGGGTGGTGATCAATGTCATGTGTGTCAAGTCCTTCTTAGTGCACCAGTTCCCTCAAGAGTACAAGCAAACCTTACTGACGAGTGCCAAGTAGCACGAAACCCGGGTCCAGGGTTTCCTGTTGACTACCTCCAACCACTATCTTATTTCAACATAGTGCACGTAGTGTTGAGTCACTTAGACTGGTGGCCACATTGCAACTTGATCGATAGCATGCGATCTGCACTAAGAAGGACTTGATGCACATGACATTGATCATCACCCAGTGACCAATCAATTGAATTTTATTTGTTTATCTGACAATAGATGAAAGTCACATTTAACCTTTCAATTACCTTCGACGGTTATATTTTTTATTTCGTCAAGTTAGGTTAGTAAAACTAACGATAAGTAGAAGTAGCATTTATTCCAATAGTTACATTTCAAACGGCAATTTTTTTAGGTAGATATCTGGAACTATACCGTAAAGGATGTAACCACTGATGGAAGATACCCAGTCAGGAGAAACCTCGATGATAAAAGTGTAATAATTTTTTTGATGACTTTTATGTACACAAGCTGAAGAGCAGTGACTAGTTTATATAGGGAAATACCACGGCAAATTAATCTCTTCATAATTTAAGATATCATCAGCTCATTAGTCGTTACTTGCGTTACTGCGAGAGTATTCATGATTTTTTAGAATTGTCCATATTTCTAGCGATCAAGCCTATTTACCTCCCGTGTCTACAGTTTTCAAATCAACTATATGCTTATCACTATATTCTAAAATCTTCTTCATAGAAATAAGTAATATATCTCTGACTTTAAGTATATCATTTTTAAAGCTATCTAACCTAACTAAACTAACCTATTTATGTTGACATTGCTTATGGGTATACCCAAGATGTTAGGAATAGTAATCGAGATTGTGCTCATCCTTTTAAATCTAAAGAAGGTTAGCTAAGCTAGTTACAGATAACTCAGTACAGTTCTTGTTTTCCTTATTTTTATTCTGTAAAACTTATCCGATTCAATTCACTTGGTATTGTTTACTTGAATCTTCCTATTGATGGTTGGGAATGCAGTTGATCAGTCTGTTATCGGCATATGTGCATACTGTGCGTATTGCCTTGATGTTGCCTTAGTTTACAAGCATTTTAGGCAAAGATGGATAGTGGCTAGCAGTAAATCCAGGACGCGCGTTTCGTCCTACTCGGGACTTGTCAGCTGGATGTGCCTGCATCACAGAGTTGGTGTTCAATCTGAGACTGTGTTCAGTCTCGATTACCTTGTAGATTTACTTTGTTCTACAGACATTCTACTAGAACTGTGAACACGATCCTGGTGACCTCAGAGTCTATGTGAAGGCTATAGTCAGAACAAGGACAACTTGGTTTTAAACTTTATCTGTTCCTAGACGTAAACACAATTCGAAGAGTACAATAATTAATAATTTTCTCAAATCTCCTGGATTCAGCGAGTGACTAACAGTGTGGTTAGATGTAGTGTATTAGGGAATGATGGTAACTCAGTTGATGAGGTTGTAGATTTCCACCGACTCAGATCGTTGGGCCACGTGTTACGTATGCCTGAATACCGATTACCACGACGCGCAATGCTGCTGACTAGTGTTGGACACGGTTGGAAGAAAGTTAGGGACTGCCAAACCAAAACGTGGCATCAGTCTTTGAAGTCACTAACTTCTAGTCTGAATCATGTTGGTAGATGCAGACTACTTGGTTGGGGTCCACATGACTATCGTAACCAGTGGTTGGAGACTCTTGGTGACATGGCTCAGAATCGACCACAAAGGCGTGGGTGTATACACTCTCTGTCTTCCGCTAAGCTGTAGGATTAAAGTTGCTTTATATCTTTCTTTCTACGAACTGATTCTTTCTTCCTGTATCATATCATTATATAAAATCTTTCTTTTATATATTACTATCATTGAAGTAACTATTTCTATGAATTTGGTGTTCACTGAATTCCCCACAACATATAAAATCGACTGTAGAAGCCACTATTTATACAAGACGTTTTAGGTATCACAGCCAAATCACGGTATTTAACAATGGTTGTAGCTAACAAGCACACGAAATTTCTGTAATCTATATAATCCAAAACAAATGATACACTACCGAAAACAAGATCAATATCATTTGCATGCCATAAAAATTTAGAGAACACACAGTGTTAGTTTTCTATCTTTTTCTGTGTGAACAGTAAAAGCTGCCATAACCCAACCCATGACATATATTTACCTATATTTATGCATGTGGAAAACTATGGACAGCAATATCAGCTAATAAAACGTTATAAAGTAGTGAACAGAAGCAACATAGAAACCATACAGAAACCTCACACTTAATGGTTAATGGACATCGAAAAACACCTAATCTATTGGTTAATCAAAACAATGATAATGAACTATAAAGTCTGATTTCAGATCCTGGAACAAAACCATCAAAATAAATGCGGGCTGTGACAATACGCTTATACGTAATACTAAGTCAAAATCCCTATTGACGGAATAAACTGTTAGTTACTGATAGAGAAATTATAAAAGCTCTTTTCTCCTAAGTTTGTACTGACGATATTGTCTAGGAAGACAAATTA